GAATGACTCGTTCTGGAATGAAACTCATTCAGGTATCATGTAAACAGTCCCTTAGAAATYGCCTTTAACTCTATCATGGTTCCAATTGTTTCTTATTACAGTGCCCGAAAAAATGCCTCATTTTAATGTCTGCACCTGCAATATTTATGAAAGAGCTCAAGCATTTTGGAAATCGTCCATTGGTGGGGTAGGTGCATCCTTTTCCATTAGAATACACACCAAAAAGGTCAAAAGATGTGCCGCATTTTTTAATTATAAATATATAAGACCAAAACAGGAAGCCTTTTGACAAGGAATTTTCTAATCTTCAAAGTGGACTTCATACAGGTACATAAAAGGTACTTCTCTACGAGACATTAWTGAGTTAATGAGATCTAATCAAACATTAATTTTTTTAAGATTACGAAAAGACAAGAAAAGATGAAACTTTCCTTCGAATTCTAAGYCCTTCGAAAAATGTATCGTAGTTTTATCACCACCGTTACGGTAATAATACTTTATTCAAAAAAATGTAGATTACATATTTTGAAAAGGAAGACATTGAGGTTAGCCCTATATAAGTCCCCTAACCGTTGCTAGAGTCAATTCAAGGAAATCCTATGCCTTTTAGTTGATTATGTTTTGCTTTTTAAGCACAAAAATATCTTTATCGTTGCAGAAGTAAATTGCAAAAGAAAGTCAAAAGCAGTTAAGCTTTAATATACTGAGTTGGTGCAAACTCACCTTTCTACACTTTGACAAATGATACGGCAATCTTTTTGCCGATATTCGATGAATTGGGTCATATGGACAAACATACAGCTCATCTGGGTCTACGGTATTAAATGAAGGCTGAGCTAAGGACACCATTTCGAAAAGAATAAAATGTAGTATAAAATTTAKCCTGTGTACATGCACGTGAAAGGAATGATTTTAAACAAACCAAAATGGCTGCCAGATGTTACTCGTACCATGTCCCCCYGCGCCGATTCATGTATCACGTGCATGATTGTACCTTTGGTGGGCTACCACCTCCCCCTCGGAGTTAATTAATCCAGTATTTCTAGACACAAATAGGTTGTTTAGCATATATGGAAACAGAAAGTACATCCATTTCTATGTTTGGGTTTTAGTTTTGAAGATATTTGAGGACAAAATTCAAGKTGACGAGTAGCTGTTTGCATGTGTAAAGCGGACACCCTCGGGACCGTCACCTCMGGCATGTCCGTCCCAACGAGAATTTTACTATGACGTCATATCAAAACAATCTATTGTTTAAACGCAAAGGWTCATGGTCGTCGGTGGGGTCAAATCAACGCAAATTTAACGAAAATTGTTCTAAAACCCGTATAAATCCACGAAGAGAAGTAGAATAGCCAGCAAACGCTTATAATATTTTTTAGTACATATTAACACATATCATATTTGAAAACCAGGCCATTTTAGATTTTAAAAACTGTTTCGCTAGGAGCAAATTTTGTTGAATTTTGTATTGGATTTGGCGATTCTATCCCCCACATAAACAAGCAGTGACGTCATAGTGAAATAGGGCAATTACGGTCATTCTTTTGCCAATATTTTCGCCGGGGATTTTGCTCCTGTCCCTAATAGCGAGGTGTCCGTGTCGGTGTCCGTAATATCGGGGTGTCCGCAAGGCGGGAGTTGACTGTACCTTATTTAGCATTCATACAAACTCATAGTGCATGGATATATATTTATGTTATTTGACTTTTAATTTTAGAAACATTTGAAAACAAAATCCAGGATTTCACTATTAGAGGTGGCAGGTACAGGGCAACCCCTCGGGTCAAGTAAGATGCACGCAATTGCTTTGAGAAGTTATTTCCAGTTAATTGCAACTGCACRATAAACGCTAAAGCACGCGGGTAAGTGCTCTAAACACGTTTATACAAAGTTGCTTAGAGGTTGAGAGCACCACTCTCATAATGGCTGACAAGTGCAAGAAAATGAGGTCACCCGTTCATTAGTTAACAATAAAAAATAAAAAAGCACATGAAATGCGTTTATTGAGAAAAGTATAGAAATTGAACTTTTTAGGCCGCGTCCACATGCCGAAAATTTGTGTATCCGCAAATTTTTTTTTCACGATTACGGGTTGCGTCCACACGTATCCGCAAATTTTTTAAAACGGTCTCAAGAATGGAAGTGTTGGAAAACGCGACAAATACGAATACGTGTGGACGCGAAAAATTTTGTATCCACAAAATTAAACAAATTTGCGGATACAAAAAAAATCCGGCATCGCGTGGACAATGCCTTAGTTTGACCTTAATTCGCGCTATCCAACTTTATTTTGAATGAGCAGCCTTGCTCTATCTTGCAAGATGACTGGGAGCCCTCATTTTCTTGCCTTTGTCAGCCAGTTCAGGCATGAAAAAGAAAAGTCTGCCATGTGAAAAAAATTAACAGGATTCAAAATTTCAATGTCTACATGATTTGTTTTTCATATGTTATTGGATGTAGCCGCTTTGTAAATAATAGTTTATTTCCATTAAATTCGAGCAAATACAATGTTTGCGCAGTTGGTCAGAGGCCAAATTGCAACTTTCAAGTGTACATATCAATATTGACGAAAATATATTGCCAATGAATAATGTATACAAAGTAACGGTGACATTCCTCACACACGTGCAAATGCAAAGCGAATTATTTCTTTCTTCATTAGTATTCAAATGTCCACGAAAAACTCAAGGTCTTCTGGCAAATGCCGTAAAAAAATTCATCTTATATTCGGAAGGAGAAACGCATGTAACCTAAGGTGTGATGAACGGAGACGCACACATCAATAGCAAATTTCACATAAATTAGAAAAAATAGAAAAAAATTCATTCATGTTGAAGTTTGACTTTCCCATGAATCATAAGCATATCAATGCATAAGTCTTTTTAATATATTGAGAGCTCTTAGAGTTAAGGCTATGGTCAAAACAATCGCATCTTACGGTGGACCCAATCTAGAATGGAGTGGTGGGGCTACCAAGAGAATGTGATGTAATATTAATATTCTCTTGGGGGCTACTTGATACCAACTCCTTTGGAAGTAAAATGCTAGAATCCGTCCCAAATATTTCCAAATTAACCGTTAACATCAAATCGTAGAAATGAATATCATGACTGTAATAATATATACTTGTCACGCAATATTAGGTTCTATTATGTAACAAATGTAATATGACTCTCTCTCCCCTCTCTCTACACACATTGTATCAAGTTAAGCACCAGAATAAGTATACCGAATTAATCGTCATTAAAGCAAGCAACCATAATCAAAGCCTCCACTAAATATCATGACAATGACCTGTCTGGTACCCTTGTATATGAGAAATAGTCAATAACAGACACCCAATATCGAGCAGTCTTTGAGGTAGGGGGCCATATATCTGTACCCATCACCAAATTCAATAAAATCGGGTCCCCATTTTTTACCATTGTTTTGATCTGGCCTCTATATAGTAATCTAAAGACTGTMCTATAGGATATAAATCAATAGTCAATGCAGTTTAGTGCATGTGTAAACCAACAGAAAGAGAAGGGGATTGCGCACTGCTTGTCATGATAGATTTTCTCATTAGAATTCTCAAAAAAGCCGATCGAAATTCCAAACTGCGCCAGCAGTAAATCAGCGGATTCCAAAATGAGCCCGCAAAGGTCAGCAGTTTTACCAAAGAGTTGAAGATTCCTTCGTTCGCGAACTTGCGGGGAAAACACTGCGGACAAATTTCTCTTAGAAAATAATATAAACAGGATGGAAACCAAGACAAGATGAAGAGACCAAGTACAATGGTGACTGTCTTYGTGCCCTTTGTTTCTCGTTTATGTTTGCGTAAGTTAGAAATATTGTTCTGGTTTTGTATTTTTCGGATCTGCCGACGAACAGTARTGTAGATGTCGATGTAGCAGATTAGAATGAAGAGAAAAGGAGCAAAAACATTGCAGATAATCACCATCATGCTCCACCAACCGACCGGTCGGTAATGACAGTTTCCTTCTAGCTCGTCTTCAAGAGGTATGAAGGGTATTGCTGATACAATTAGGACATCTATCCAAGCTATGAYAAGAGAAAGGCGAAGTCGACGACTTGAGATGATGTCGTGATATTTGAGCGGGAATCTGACAGCGACCAACCGCTCGATACTGATGACTGTTAAGCTGACTATAGAAGCATAACCAGAAACAAAGTAACTGAASCGAAAAGTGTCACAAATGACGCCTTCAAAAGACCCAAGCCCTAATGGAGACTTCTTGATAAGGTAAGCRGGCATAGCAAAAATACCCGCCAATAGATCTGCTAGTGCCAGGCTTCCAATAGGAATGTACGTGGGACGTTGAAGTGAGGACTGGGTCCATATAGCTAGRAGCACTAGTATGTTTCCAATTATGGTCCCAAGGGACATAACAGTTAAAATTACTGCTAGTGCTTCAAAAGGGACTTGTTTTTCAAAAGGCTCACCATGGTATGAACTGTTGTTCATGGTTGAGTCAATGTCATATTCACCTGCAATGRAATTATATCTTATTACTACCATTATTATTGAAGTGCCATCTGAAAGTAAAACATCTTGTTAACCAATAATTAGCATTTCAACTACCATCCATCAAAGAACTGCAATAAAAAACATTTTTTTGAGGGAGATTTAGGACTGAATTAAAGTAAAATATCTAATTCAGTCTAAAATCTCTCTCRATATATTGTTTTTTTTAGTTTAAGTTCTTTGATTAATGGTTATTAAAATGCTAGTCAGCAAATGAGACATTTGCAGGTTGCACATCAACGATAATGGTAATTCTAGTAAGACACGATATTTCAACAAAGAAACCCATGTTTAAGATAATGAAGACACAGAAAAATGTGATTTAACAAAGTATAAGGCACGGAACACCATGCTATGGCACAGTATAAGTCACAGAACACTGTACTTTATCAAAGCATAAGGYACAGAACACCATGCTTTAACAAAGTATAAGGCACAGAACACTGTACTTTATCAAAGCATAAGGCACAGAACACCATGCTTTTAATAAAGTATAAGGCACAGAACACTGTACTTTATCAAAGTATAAGGCACAGAACACCATGCGTTAACAAAGTATAATGCACAGAACACTGTACTTTATTAATATATAAGGCACAGAACACCATGCTTTTAATAAAGTATAAGGCACGGAACACTGTACTTTATCAAAGTATAAGGCACAGAACAYCATGCGTTAACAAAGTACAGGGCACAAAACACTGTAGTTTATCAAAGTATAAGGCACAGAACACAATGCTTTAACAAAGTGTAAGGCACAGAACACCATGCTTTAACAAATTATAAGGCACATAACACTGTACTTTATCAATGTATATAGCACGGAACACCATGCTTTTACAAAGTACAAGGTATACATATGTATAGCAAGTATATCAAGCACACTGAATTTTGTAATTCTTGTTATATATTTAAATGGCAAACCGCAATGAAACTAAACTAGAATAAGAAAGTTAAGGCYTGGGGTTTTCTTTTGAAAAGAAGCCCCCGTTAAGAATCGAGATTTTTGACTTCGTACCAMGAAGATATTCGCTAGTTTTCGAAAATTGAAATGAACGAAACAAACGAACGAACGATGAATGAAAATATTTGTGGATGTTGATTACGAAGTCCTTAACTKTTTAGTGCTGATTTTTACGCGAGATCACGTGATATGCGACGACATGATAGCAATAAAGGTGCCTAAAATGTACCCGTTTTTCCAGAAACATGTTTCCTTAAAAGTTTCCAAAGTTGGCGAAACTGTCAGTAAACATCTCGAAACAACTTTACTCAACATTGGYTAGCGTATGCGGACTTGACAAGATAGAGCGAGCGTTGCTAAGTAAAAAAAATTTAAGAATGCTAACATTCGGGAAACATCGAAACATCGGGAAACATTGCGTCTTGGAAGCATGAAATATTCCTCACGCATAGTAGAAATATTTTTGTGTCTTGGAAGCAAAATTTGTTGCGCGCAGCAATGTTTCACATATGTCTAAACTGGGAAACATTGGGGAAACTTGCGCGCGGTAAAAAAAATTCTGGACACAGAACAACATGCTTTAATGAGGYACGCGTTTATTAATTAATACCAAGAGAGCATAACGTCATCAACTTCCTTCCGTTTCGTTTTTAGTGATCAAAACAATAAACGGAATGAGCGCGCGTGCGCATGTTGATGACGCATGGGAGTAGGGTAAGGCGAAATTTAAACTGCATACGGTTACTAAAAATAGCCCAACCGGGAATTTACATGACGCGCGCGTTAATATGAAGTTTCCCTCTCTTATTTATGCACTCTTRCTAATAAGTGTAGAAAACGGAAAATCGTGCCTAAGAAGACAGCGAGTCACAGCATTTCATTCATTCCTACCCTGTTTTKTCTTTTCTTTTCTTCTTTCTTTAATTATTACTGTCTGCTTTATTTATTTTTCTTTCTTTGAGAATTTCAAGTTAACCTTATTCTAAGCGCAAAAACTAGAAAGTAAGTGGTTATATCTAACTATATTTCTTACCATTGATTGACCATGAAATAAYTAAGCCTAAAACTAAGTCATGACAATATTTTGTGTGTTTTGATATCGTTGTCACTTGTTTACTTTGCACTGAAGTAAATTATTCTCACTATAACAGGCGGCTTACAACTAAATGTTTTCGAGGAAAMAATCGTGAAAACGCTGGAGAACAACTGCTTCTTCGTCTCTAAAATAAACATCTAGGTTATAATTAATTTCTTAAGTGTTTTTGAGACTTTACGGGATTTTATTTTACATAAAAAATTACAATTTATAACATTTTCCATTTTGAAGACAAGGTTTTGGGACTTACTTATTGTCACTCCGGGGAGCAAGGCTTGTCGTTTCGTGTACATCGAGAAAATAAGTTGGCTAAATGTAATGAAATAATAACAAATGGATCTAGCTTTCCCGATGGCTTATTTTGCAAWATTAAAAAGAGAGCACGTTTATATTTTAAAGGAAAACCAAACAATTGCATGTCATATGTTTATAAAATAGAAATAAATATCTGGTTTTAAAGTTTTTGCTGTAAGATTGTAAGATCAAATCTACAGTAATTTTGAGACAAAGATAGCGCATATCCTGAAACCTTTCATCCAAACAAATTTCTAAACTTGGCGAAATGAAAATTGATTAAAATGAAAAAGAGGTCTCACCTTCGTATTCGTATATCATCTTGATTTCTAGATCAATCCTTGAGCGGAAAAGATATTAAACACCTAGACTGTACTCTGAAGAAGCTATGGSGATGTTCTTGGGGAGAGATATAATATAGCTACGGTATACGTGAGTTTTTTCTCCGGACCTCAGTCAGTCCAATAGTTCTTTGGTGCTAGTCAACAGGATGTGTGCAGATGACCTTAATGATGAGCCAATAATAACGTCCGTCAACAGTCACAAAATTGCACGTCGTTTCCGAAGACCTTAGGGCTATGTTCGCTGACACYCGCTTTCCTTACACGGCGAATCATAATTTTCGTGCTTTGCCTTTGAATATTTAAAAGTCTTAATTGTTAATCTTGGTTTATTTGGCTTATTCATTCAACTTTTATTCGACTGGCAGTCCAAATAATAACTACCTTAATTTATCAAMTAGAAAGACTTCAAACTTTTCTAGCACTTCAAATCTGTAAAACTTGAATTAAGCTAAAATCCCACCAATTTAAAAAAAAAAGTGTGAACAAAATCTGAAAGGTCAATTAGATAAAGAAGCGTTCAAATTATTCGAAGTAACTTTTGTTTTGAAGAACGAAATGATCCAGTCATTGATATTAGGTTAGTTCCCATGGATTCAAAAGTCTTGACGTATATCTATATACTTCTATGTAACACCTGCCAATGCTATGTGCTTATTTCCCGTCTGTGACCTCATACACACTCTAGAAAAGTTCTCGAATCCTTTAGCTCGAGTATTAAGTAACCTTAAAAAATGCAGCGCCAGACGCTTGATGGAAGGATTCAAATTCTCGCTTTAGGACGTGAGCGTCTTCAGTTCTTAAGTTTTCAAGTCCATGCTACTCAATTTAAGCTATGCTTTAGTACTATCAATATTTACAATGGCTTAAATAACTAAAATAATCGGCTTTAACAACAATTCAGAGGGTTGGTTTAACTCTCGTTGTCTCTGACCGATTTGATAAACGCAATTATTGGTTTCTCCTTAACATAGTTTTCTATAATCCTTAAACCCATTCTTCGCAATTAAATTTTCCTAATATTAATCTATTTTCGTCTAGAATATGTCATTTATCATTATTTTTAATAGTCCTATTCTCGGTGGCAAACAGAGCAGTTTCATTACCATGGCGAGGTTTTGTTTCTACTATTTTTTCGTCTATTTTTTCSTCTATTATTAGCAAGCCCTTGTTTTTCTTTATGCGTCAAATACTTTTCACCCCCCCCCCTCTCCCCCTTATTTTTTGATTCTCTCCTACAGTATCACTTTTGTGATTAAACCAAGAGACTACACACTTTTCACATTGTTATCTATATACTAAACACAAAGAAATCTTCGAAGGATTTAGATTCTTCCTTTGATCTCGCAACATCATTTACTGTTATGTTATCAATAAGAAATTACACCGTGGTGTATCATCACCCTCCACTCGGCATTGGTATAGTTTCTTTTTCACTCTACTGCGCATCAAAGGTTGTTTTGGCGGGAGTGTACTCGCCTCTCACCTCTGGGGTCTCCGGTTCGATCGCTTAATTCGGCATCACATGTRAGTAGAGTTTGTAAGATTTCTTCCTTCATTCGTGGGATTTTCTCCGGGTTTTCTAGTTTTCCTCCCTCCACAGAAAGTAACATGATAAATCATTCCAATTCGAATCTGTGAGGTAGTAGAGTTCTGAGTAGTTAGATCAGCCCAAAAGTTGTTTCAGAACGGTATGATCGATAACATTTTGAAGSTACTTTGAAGGTACATCTACCTATATATTGATCTTAAACATGGGAAACTGAACCACGTTATTAGATTTTTGCTTACCTAACACAATTAAGCCTCCAGTCATGCTAATGGCCTACCCTTTATATCGCCCTGCAGTTAGACAATATATAGGGACAGATCTGCTAATAAACTTAAGTTTCCAAAGACTTTGTCGGCTATGCAGTCTCTATTTGCAAAGAGTATACAAATCTTAACAGATTGTTTCAATCACAGTCTTTAAATAACATGAAAGTGAAGTCGCTGCGTTTTTAGCCTACCGTCTTGGTTCCTTAGAAACCATATTGGCGCTAACCAATATATATCGGCTAAAGCTCCAAGCACTTTTACTCCCATGGAAATAAGCTATAAGAGCTATCCAGGAGGTGTTTAATAAGTGCAGTCCTTGCCAAAGGAAGTGTCGGTTATGTCTGGTTCTCACCAGCGACGCATTCATGAGCACGCATAATGAAGTGTCCGYAATAGAGAGGTGTCCGTACTATAGAGGTCTGTTTATTAGTAAATAAATGCAGTCAACAC